AACAAGAGCATCATGGTGACAGCATACTCCCGCGTGCAGGAACAGATGTTGATAGAGTTGCAACATGTGTTGCATGATGCCGGTCATCTCTGAACTGTCATCACAATCATCCTTCATCTTCGGCACTGTCATCGCCATCATCGTCAGCAGCATCAGCATCTTCTTACTTTCTGCGTGACTGCACTCCCTCTCCTGACGCTCCTCCATCACCACGATCATTTGGGTGGAAACAACAACCCTGTCGCAACAGCAACAAGGGCCTGATTAAGGTTCACAATACTGGTTGTAACGATAGTTTCGGAATGCCGACACAGTCCGACATTCCAGTTTGAAGGGTAGTACGTAGAAGCATCACTGAAGACGAGACTCGTCATCTTTAGGCACACTCAGCACACTCCCGACAACCCTTCGCCGGCCTGGCAAGCATGCCACCACATTCAGAGATGCCAGGCCATCGCCGATCAATACAGCGAGGTGAAAACGGGTGCTTGGCTGAGCGAAGTGCTTGCTTCTGTGGTTTCTGAGCCCATGGGACACGGATGTTTAGCTGGGTTACGGCTTCCCTTCCAAGGCATGAGCCCTAACCCTACTCAACCCTTCCAAGGCATGAAGGACGACAGCTCCTCTTCCGATCATCTGGACTTCTGCGAGCGGGCAAAGTTCGTCCCCATGAGGCCTCCTCTCTGACAGGTCCCTTCAATGTTCAAACAAGCATGGGGCTGTTCCGGGTCCGTAATTACTGGTACACTATAGTATACTCTAGTCTATTTTCGTAGATGATAGTATATTATGGCAGAAGACTGCGCAAGCCCAGTATTGCAGACTCTGTGCAAGACTTGCAGACATGGTTCCAAAGGTTCAGCATCAGCCGCAGCGGGAAAATATCCATTCATTGAAGACTGCAGACGACGTTTTACGTGGTTTTTGTGACAGTGGCTATTGCTATCTACTGCTGCAGCTGCGACAGCCACATCTCCAGGATCCGAGGCCTACGACTATTTGGGAAGCCCCGAGTTAAGATCAACACGAGGGCAAGGTGTTGCCTGGATAGGGACTTTCACGAAGCACTTCGACTTCAGATTGCTTTTCGAATGGGCCCCATCCTATAGCCCGAACAGTGCATTGAAGGCACGCACACCCAAAAGCCCTGAGTAGAAACGTTATCGGCAGGCTTACATACGATGAGCGAAAGTACTTGCGGCTGATCGATGCGACCATGCACGCGCCCGACTCGGCCAACACCCCTTGTCTGTCCCAGATTGGCGTGTTCGTTTTGGGCTTACCTCGTGAATGGTTCTTCGTCGAGCTTGGCAAGAGTGGTTCTGACTCGGAAACTGTCGTGTTAAGGTGTCCCACTACACGGACCACATGGACACAGCAGCTAGCGTGAATGCCAACAACGCAAGAAAGCTGGCGTCCGTGCCTCAGAGCATCCATCAAGCGCAAGCATTCAAGGATACATGGAGTCCCATGCAGGGTCATGCATGATCCTTGGGCTAAAGCATAAACCCACCCGGCTGCGGACGGCATGCGCTGTCTTCAAGCTGTTGCCGCGATGCACAGCATGGGCCTACTGTGAGTCGCATGACTCACGTTTTAAGGTAAGCGATGGCATGTCAACATATCTTTGGTCAAACTGTGGTGTGACGGGTTCGCTGACGCATCCATCCCATAGCTGCGCCTTCCCGCGCAATGGCTGGAGTGCTGCCATAAAGCCGCGCATGAGCCAGGCACGGCTGCACGAGAGACATGCTGAGGCAAGAGCCAGGATAGCCAGGCACCACACTGTCAGCTCCCCACCACCTGAAACACTAAATGGCCAAATCCTGGTCCCGAAGGGCCCAAGCGTCGTTGCACTGCGAAGATCCCAATTGAACAGCCTTTCCGGCATACTCCAGGACGCCAGCTCCGAATCAGACGATGCTGTGGAGTATGAGGAGGACATTTACTTGGACAGCGCCGCGATCCGCACTGGGGCGGTTTGCACTTAAGAGCTTGAGGCGCTAATGTAGTCATACTTACAGTGTAGTACCCAATTGAAAGGCTCAGCGACAGAGCATGGCTCTCCTGATCTCTCAATAGCATTCAGCACCCATGGGCACTAGAAGCAGCCTGTATCCGCAACCTCAATCCCTCGAAGCTTCAACTTCCCGAAGCTTCAACTTCCCAGCGCTGAGATGAGTCCGAGATGCCAAGCAAAGCCGCGACATCCTCAGACGGGTTGCGCCGAAGAACGGCTGACCCTCGGATACAGAAGCGGTCGTGGGTCTTTTTTTTTGTAGGGCTTCTGGGTTACCGTACAAGATCGCGTTTGGGGGTTTTGAGAGTGTGACAGGCTCAGATCTCGAGATTCGGCTCTGGGCCGGAGAGGCTTCGGATTCACTCGCAGCAAATCCGCAAGGCAGCAGCAAGCAAACAAAAACAGGGTTTAGGGTTTAGGGGGTAGCCGTAAACTTTTCGCCCCTTGCCACCATGTGACCTGTGGATTTCTCAGGCGCCTGCTAAGCCCGCCATGGAAGCGCGGGACGACCCCTCCGACGGGGAGGAGGAGGAGGACGATGAGATTGAGGACGAGGAGGCCCATCCGTGCACTCCATTTTTGGGCATGACTGTAACAAAAAGCAACCCTGGTCGTAGCCCCTCTAGTAACCTCAAACCCTTCCATATCGATCGCATTTTCTGGTCGAGCGGGTCGAGGCCCAAAGAAATGAATTCGAGGCTGGTGGGCCCCAGGCTCCAGATTCAAGGATGTCAGCTATTTTCGTCATCCCCACTGTATCACTATATATTTTGTTGCAGTGCCGGCAATCCATACGCAGCAAGCATACACGGATGCCGCTGTTCAACAGAAATTGCCAGCGGACTCACCAACCAGGTGCATTCAGTCCACTCATACATGAGTGTTGGTTCTTACCGTGAATCTCCAAATCAGCCAGCAGACCTGTGTGTGTATATATATATATACACATGCATATATACATACATACGCTTGTGCCTATATATATATATAGATATACACAAAGGTTTCTTATTTTTTGTAGGTACAGCTATATCTTCACACAGACACAGACATGCCGACCTGTACACGCTCATGTGGGTAGCTCTCTAAATTAGGGTCTGTTTTTGGGTCCCCAAGAAGGACCTCCCCAAAAAGGGACCCTAATTTAGAGAACTACCCTTATAGAAACCCTTACAGATCCCTTTAAAGGAACCCTAAACGGGACCCTAAGTTAGATCGACTTCGCCAGACGCGAAAGCGGCGGCTCCAGGCTGGCCGCACCGACATTCTCGGCTCTGCGGCCGCAGGGTTTAGGGCTTAGGGGGTAGGGGGTAGGTGGTTTGGGGGGTAGGGGGTTTAGGGTTTAGGGTTTACCCGAGAAGCTCCAACAGCCAAAACGAGCAGCCATCAGTAGTGTATCTGTATATGTAGCAAACTATACAGCTTTACCTACATCCATATCCATGTGTTTTTTCTGTTTTTTCGTCGTTAGCTATATCCATGCGATCACTGACCTTCATTTCCGGGGATCATGCAATGGCAACTCGGGCCAGAGCGAGGGGAGAAGCCTGCAGCCAAGCCAGCACCGGTGGTTGCAACTGTTTCACTCATCCCGAAACCCTCACTTGTGCTGTCCCAGCCTACTTCGTGGCAGGCAAACTACAGACCCGTCCGAAAAAAAATTGCAAATGCAAAATTGATTTGAAGGTATGGATGGCTGTGCCTTGTTCTGCTTCATCTGGCTCATCACGACGGGTGTGTCTGGGCAGCACCCCATCGACTAAAGGGCTGCAATGCTACAATCTCATTTATTTAGATTGGCGTCTAACATGCCTCTCTATTACGTCCTGGCACTTTGCTATGCTATACGTGCTATACTAGTTGCTAGGCGACCTTGTCCTGGTTTCTTGATCAGCTTGGTGTCAGCTTCGTAGATAGCTTCTTGCTTTGGCCCCGCCCCCTCTCTCTCGCCCTCCGTCCTCCACTTCCTCCCTTCCTCGGTCCTCGCCGCCCTCCTTTCTGTTTCTGTTTCGCACGAGGAAGGCAGGCACTCTCCGCTTGCCGGCTGAAGGTCGTGTTCTCGCTGCTCTACTTCAGCATCTGGGCCCGTGATCGCCACTTCTTCGCGCCGCTTCAGCATCTCGCAGACTTATGGAACCATTTTCGTTTTGCGAACGGAGGCAGCTTCGGTGATTCTCGCCCAGTTCCCGGAGCCCGGAGCATCATCATCCCAGGCGCACAAATGTGGGTAAGTTCTTCCACGGCGGAGTGGCGGCGATTCTTGATCCTCGCCCGGCAAGAGTGCACGAGCTAGTAGCTGTCAGAAGTTGATTGGTTACACAGCAGAGTGTTCAATCTATGCCCGAAGACAGGACAGGGAAGTACCCAGAGCTAAGGAATGATCCGCTGGACGTAGGCACAGTGAATGTGCAGTGAGGCAGACACTTCGCTTGCACGTGGGACAACGAAATCGTGTTGCTCCGCCTGTCTCGTGGTAGTGTTTGCCTGTTTACTGCATGGTCTGCTCGGAGCAGTACAGAAGCCTGACTAATTGTCAGGGGTTCCATTATTGTGGGTATACCCTAATGTTAGTAGTGACTGGTGTATCCCAAAGTCATCGAGGCTTCTATAACAGTTGGGACCAGGGCCACTTGCACAGCCATTGAAGTATACCCCTAGACGTGGAACAAAGCAGCCCGAATTAGCAGCCCGAAACCCTAAACCCTAAGCAGTGATCTAGCGATCCTCGGAGCCCGTTTTCCTCACATGCCTTGAGCCATGCAATGAGTGAAAGACCGTCCGCCTTGCAGATCCGAACCAGCCCTATTCCAACAAACTCACCACCCACCATTTCACCGGTTTAGGGTTTAGGGTTTAGAGTCTAGAGTGAATCTTCGAGAACGCCGGGTGGTTGGAAGGTTGTGAGAGTTGAGATGAAGGGCTGACTTTGCGACAAGCAGCTGACTAGCATCAGAGCTTGTCTTTCTGATTGTCGTGACCCAAGGAGCAAAAACCTGCAGGCTGCCCTCAAGAAGTGAACCATCCATGAAGAGATAACATGGCCCCAAACCTACTAGTATAGCTCTGGCACTCCAACAACTCAGGAAGCTCCAGTACCTAAGCTGTCCAGTCCCCTGGAAACCAAACTTGTACAGAGGTGGCCATGGTTGTTTACCCAGTCCAAGGACAAAGCCAGAGCCTGATCACTCCACCCTCAGCTTGCACTGTTGCGGGTCTGAGAGTCTAGGGCTCACCAAAACCATCAACCTCGAAACGCAGCAAACCACATGAGCCTCTTTGCCTTGGATGGTGGCGGCGGGCAAAGAGTGGTTGGACTCGCTGCAGTGCGGCGCGACAGGTTCCGGACCCTAAACCCTAAGATATAAACCCTAAGCCCTAAACCGTGGCACGATTAATTCAGCTTCACTGTTCTTGGTGGTTCTCGCAGCTTTGGGGTTTGTGCAGGTGGTGTCCTGAATGTTCCCTCACGGGCTACGAAATAGGATTTCGGACGGTTGCAGGGGCTGTCGAAGACTGTTTCTGCCTCGAGCCCGGGCGGGAGAGGCACCAAAAAAGCACAAATAAGCATAAAAACAAAAACGTATCAAAAACAACGCAAAGCTATTATTAAGCATGGAAACTCAAGGGGAAGGAGCGGAGGCAGAAAGAAAGAAAGACAGAAGGAAAGGAAGAACGCAATAACTACATAAAAAAGAAATAACTGAAGAAAGCAAGAAAGAACGAAACAACTAAATAAACAAAGAAAGAGAGGAAGCGATGAATAACGAACGAACGAAAAATACAAACACAAAGAAAGAAAGCAAGAACAAATGCACGACGCATCAAGAGAAAGAGATGCAGAAAGGAAGGCAGAAGGACCGAGAGCAAAGATGAAAGAAAGAACGAGAGACATAAGGAATGCAAGAAATTCCCAAACAGGGAAGAAAGCAACAAAGGAACAAAACGAGAGAGAGAGAGAGAGAGACAGAGATACAGGGGGGCAACCTCCTTGCCCATACCCCTGCTGAAAGAAAGATACAGACATACAAAGAAAAACACAGGAACAAAGAAATAACAAGAGAAATCCAGGCAGAAGCGACAGAAACGCAAGAACCAAACTAAGGACAAAATCATGAAGGAGTGAACTAAGGACAGAAAGAATGCAATTAGAGAGACACAGAAAGCAAGAAAAACATGGAGAAACAACGAAATGCAGCATGACAGAAAGAAAGAAACAACAAAATGGAAAATAGAAAGAAAAAAGCAGAGCAAGAAATACAGGAACGTACAGAAGGGAGGAAAGAAAGACGACAGCAAAAGAAAAGGAAAGAAAGCACCAGAGAAAGAAGGAGGGATAGACTACGACGACGACGACTACTACTACTGCTACTACTACTACTACTACCACTACTACTACTACTACTACTACTTCTACGCGCATAGTACTAGTGCTAGTAGTAGTACTAGTACTAGTACTAGTACTAGTACTAGTACTAGTACTAGTACTAGTACTACTACTAGTACTATTACTAGTACTACTACTACTACTAGTACCA